CAAGTCCCTGCCAAAGCACTAAGGCATCACATCACACTCCAAACATCTGAATGCCAAGCACAGACTGAAAACGCTCACGTACACAAAGGCTGCCTTCCAAGTCTGGCTGCTTCTGACTCTCATGTGGGAGAAAAATAAAAAAAAATAAAAATAAAAAGACTTCCCTCTTAATGACACCCATTATAAATTACAAGAGTAATACCAACATGTATAGCTATGTAACTGTAATATATTTGTCTGCTTTTCAGCTCTAACTCAGCAGCAACTTTCTGGAGCAGAATTTTCTTCTTGTTCAGTGATGGACTGACTCCTTACACTTGATGCATACCCACAGGCAAACAACATTCCATGCTCAGCTCTGATGAAGTTCACATTCACATCGTGCACGAGAAAAACTCCCTTAAAAATGTCAAATGGTTTAAATTACAGCTTCCCATACGAAGCTGGCACAGGTTGTACTATGGAATCTTGGTGTGCTTTGCTTCCCAAACCACTTCCATTTTTATCATCCATAATTTTTAAAGCAATTTCAATGGTCTTCATGCTGAGTTTCCCAGACTCGATTTTCATTCAGTTTTTCAGGATAGACTAGAGCCATCAGAGACTCAAGGAAAAAAGAGCATTAGGTCCAGAAAAACACCACTAACTACACACTTTACTCTCTAGGTGATAAAGACAGTGCACAGCTGGCATAAGGTGCTAAGCCGCAAATAAACGTATGGGAAACTACTGTCCCACTTGCTCTTTAAGGAAGCCTAACAGCAAGAATCGTTCTTCAGTCAGGTAATGTCTTGCCATGCTGGCTTTAGCATGTAGTCTACAGATCTTTGCAATGAAGAGACTGTACAGCTGTAAAACATGCTTCCATCCTTAAAATAAAAACTGCAATAAAAAAAGCACAGATACTACATTGGCAAACCCTGTAAGTGTTTGCAAAATAAGATGTAAATGAGGAGCAAGAGTTGCTCCAAAAAGCAGTCCCTTGCTTCCACTGATGTTTTCAAGGATGGGCATCACCCATTCCTTCCCCCTACATGCTGATAAAATTGATGCGTGAGATGGAATAAAGATGACAACATCAAAGCTAGTAAACGTTGCTCAGAAAATAAAAACCATGTCTCTGCTGAAGGTAATACAGGAAATTTGGAAATAATGGAAAAAAAGAGAAAAACAAAATAAGTCTTATTTTGTTACAGTTCTCAAGGCAGGGAGAAAATAATTCTGACTTGGGGTAAAATCGTTTATTACCACTTTCAAGGAAACACATAGAAATTTTTAAAGCAATTTAGCCCTGCCAGAAACATCAGAGTCTTCCTTCTCCTATTGCTTCTGACTCTCCACGATTTCCATGTTTTCTCTCTTCTTTCCCCTGGTGCCAAAGATAGAGGCAGCTGCTTCATGTGAGATGAGACAGTTTAAGATAAAAGAAAAGGGTCCTAAAGGGGAAGGGAATCCCTGCTATCATCTCTTGTTCCCCTCTGGACATTTAGTCCCCTCCACAAAATATCACTGAAAACCTTTCCTAGCTATTCCCTCCATGCTAGCACCTACCAGACAACCAGTCCCAATATCTACCCTCCTTCAGCAGCACTGAAAAAAAAAAAAGCAGTGCATTTCTCTGCAGAAATGGAATGGAATTGCATCAATTTCCAGAAATGTGATGCTGAACGGCCTTACACATCCCCTTTGTTCTTAACTTCTCCCTGCAGGACTCTGCTGCAAGTGTTACTCAATGCAGGAACAGCCAGCCCCACCAGAGGCAAGCAAGGCAGAAAGAAATTTTCTTTTTATCGTTTTACCATTTCAGCAAAGCACCATACAGAAGTTTCATTTTAAACAGATGCCCAAATCCTTCTCTGCTCTGTAAAGCACATCTGCACACACTCAGGTGCTTTGATGAGCTTTAGCACAACACAGGATCCCAGGGCAGCACCTGCTGCAGGCTGTCACTCAGGCTTCAGGCTCTTCTCCAACACTTTTAATTTAGATACGCGAAAAATGTCTTGATGCACTGACAACATGGCCATCTGAAGGAATACAAACTAGCAGCCAGCATGCTCCCACGTACAGAACAGGTTGGCAAAGATTATCTAAACACCAAACTCCCATGTTAGCAGAACAAATACAAGCAAAGTTCCAAAATTTTGTTATCACCAACAGCCAGGGTCCCTGATGGTAAAAAGAAATTAGCAAAGATCTAGGGATTAGACTGCAAACCTTTCAAGCCCTCAGAATTTTTCACAAAGCAGCATAAATATTTCCAAGTTGATTCTTAAAAGAAATGAAGAAAATACACTGAACATACCCTTCAGTTTGATTCAAAGATCCAGCTGCCGACTGCCAATGGTGGCACATAAGCACATAAGATGATTCATACATCAGTTTATGAAGAAATAAAAGAGCAGTGACACAGTTGTATTAGCTGTAAACTAGCTGTATCAATGACAACATCACAAATCATTACCTTCCATTAAACATACTGTACTAGCGCAGAGGAGGTGGGCTCCTCAAAGAACTGTCAATATGAAACAAGATTCTATGCCTGACCTAAGGCAAAGACTGGCTCCTGTTGCAAAACAGAAGTAATATGATAGACAGGCCAGTCTCACAACAAGCTTTTTGGCAACAGAAACCATACCGAAAGATTAACTCAGTACTTCCTTCAACTCAACCACTCCGAAATTTTTAACCTCCATTACAATGTTGTACTCAGACTGAAGTAAAGGAAACAGTAGCAGTTACTACCATGCTACTGCATGCTGTCAGATTTAAGTAATTTCATTGTGCACTGGCAGCATTTTAAGTTCTCACTTCCCACTAGGAAACCTTAAGATTATTAATGTTAAGTGAAGATGGTCTCTCATTCATCTTCTCCAAAACCACATGAAGGAACAGGAATGCTTTCTGAAATCAAGTGCTTCAATTTACAGAGAACTGGTGGTTCTGTACACTCTCTGTAAGGTCATTTTAAATACCACTAGGGATCAATTTATAACTGAAGAAAAAAAAAAGCTTACCAAATTACTGAGTGATTATTTTCAAGTAAAATATTAGCCATCATCCATAAAGCAAGAAAGAAACAGAGGGATGTAGATACTATAGACATTCTCAAGCCTAGAACCAAGTAGGTAAGAAAAAAAGGTGTTAGAGGATGGTATTTTTGTGAAGAAATGTTAAAGGAAAGGTGTACCTTAAAATGACAGTTGATCAATGGTAACACACTTTTAAAACTCCTGTTGAGGATTTTTTCTTTTCCCCTTGGCAACATCTGATTTTCTCAGACAAAAGAACAGCATTTCACTGCAGCTTTAATCATTTGGATTATTATTTACTGGTGGCAAGGGGACTCGGTTTCAGGCAGAAAAGGAAATGGACTGTACAAACATATATAGGACCTTTTCTTATTTAAGACTAGATTATTTTAGAGGTAACTACACAGGGATGGTATTTGTAGGGGAAGAATTTAAAAGCAAGGAAGTATTGGGAAGAGAACGCTAAACAAATTCATAAATCAGAAGGTAAAATTTTACTGAATCGCAGCAGTTAAACACAAGACCTTACCTAAGATTCATACAGCACTTGGAATCCTTAAGTGAAGTCTGGACATTTTACTGCAAATTATCTTCTAGACTGCAGAAAATGCTTACAGCAGAAACTATTATTTCAATCTCTCTTCTTGACCTTTCCTAAGAGGTCAAGATGATAAAACTTGGAGATAGATACAAATTATTGCATCCCAAGAGGTGCATAAAGTAGTAATAAGTAGCTACTTATTTTCCACCAAAATGTTTCTGTGCAAAGCTCAGAAGCAGTACTTACCCTCCTAATACCAAAGGAAAGGGCCCAGTGGTCCCCCTATAGCCCTAGACTAATGAATGCTGAGTATTAAGTTACGTATTACATTCTCCACATACATATAGGCATCATAGCAATCATAAAAACTCCCATTTTTCCCTTTCTTTTTCCCCCTCTAAAAAACACAGGACTTGGTTGTTGGTTTTTTTTTGGTTTTTTTTTTTGTTTGTTTTTTGTTTTTTTTTTCTTTGGCAAATAAGTACATACAAACACTTCACTGCTAACAAGTTCTCACCCTGGCTGAGAAAAACACCTCTAGAAAGCCAGTACTGCTAATAAGACAGTGAGTGTTTTACCAAGTTGTCTAATACATTCAATAAATAGCAAGTTTGTAACTGTACAACTGTATCACTAACAGAATGCTTACACCCTCCGTTACTTTGAACAACACAAGCAAAATTATTTTCCGCCATGAGTTTCTCCAGGTGGATTCTGAATGCCACAAAAGAAATGTATTCAAATGTTTACCATCAAATTCAACATCTTTTTACCACACTTGGAAAACTTTACAAAAGAAGTTTCTTCTTTCTTTTCCTTAACACAGGCCATAGAATAGAGTTCAAGAATAACATAGATAACATATTTTGTGTTACTAATACTACTCATTTGCTTTCTTTCATTAAAAATGTGGTATTCTTTAATTATTTATAAGTTCTATGTAGATACCCAAAGTAGAAACTTAAACGCAGTTTGTAGACATTAGAAAATTGCTAAGAACTGCCCAAGCATTTCAAAAATACTTTAAAATATTTAAGAATAATTCCAGATACAAAGCAGATGATTCAGTACTCAAATTCCCAAATTTGAGAATATATTAATATAACAATATACAGTTAATTGATCTTCATTGTGAATCCATCAACAAGAACCAGTTCTTAACAATTCTTCGTCAGTGCATCCAACTGAACCAGGGGCACAAACAGGAAATTTTACTGAGTTCCTACATGGTAGAGATTTGAAATTAGAAAACCACTTCTGAAGTTAATGAAACAGATGTGATTCAGAACTACAAGGAAAAGCAGGACAATGGAGAATTGCAAAAGTTTAGATTTTAACTGGTTCTTTTTCCATGACTGGGCAATGACATTACTTAATAGTCAAAGCAATTACATAGGTTCCAATTATGTGAGAAGTTATACACTTACCATTAATCCATTTGGCTTCTGGATTATGAACTATGAACTCTTTTCTGAAGAGATCTTCCAAAGACAATCTGGTTTCAGAAGAATTTGCAAACTCATCTAAAATAAACATAACAGGATCATTTTACACGGTTATTAAAACAATATATTCTGTGTACTTTGCAAAACATCGGAATTAAAGAACTAGAACACATTCAGAGGTGCTGCTGAAATTGATGACACTGCACTGCTCTATCTTTATTCATCAGAAAGAAAAGTTTCATTTTTCTTCAGTACAGCTTCAGGAAAAAAACAAACCACCACTAACACCTTAGAGACATGACAAGTGAACTGTGAAGTGCTTGACTATTTACTATTCTGGCAATGTAGTGGCACAGGTCCTCCTTTACACACCTCTATTCCACAAGAAAACTGATTTCAAAGCATTACAAGAATTTCCTGACAGACACAGAACAAGGGCCATATTAATCACTTTGTACAAATGGTAAGTAAAATCACATTGTATAGTCTGTTTGGAGCCATTTTATTTTAGAGATTTAAATGTAAAGAAAAATAATAATAAAAAAATCCACATGCATACTTTATGATCCATATTTGCTCTCAGGTAAGGAGCCTTGCCTTTTTTAGCCTTGGCTAGCATCTTTGTGTCTTCCAAACAGTAGAAGCCAAGATTATTATACTTTGAAAGACAGCCAGTATTAATTTCAAAACTATCAAAGCTCCTAAAATCATTTCTGTGATTGAGAAATGAAAAGGAAACTCTGCCAAATCCTGCTTTTCTTGTGCTGTAGGTTGAATAAATCATAAACAGTAGTGATTCAAAAGTGTACTGCCACACACATGCAATATCAGAGATAGTATTAAAGCAGATGTCCTATTTTGCTATCAAAAGACGAAGTTTCCAATGAATATTTATACACAGCAGCTATGCACTTCACCTAACTGCTTTAGGCTACTTAGAAGAATAGCAGTTGCCAAAAGCTGTGTGCTATGTCCCCTGTTTACTTAGTAAGCAACCAACCAGATAACTGCCCACTCCGGTCTTGAAAGCATTTTTATCATCACTCGGCAGGATTATCACAGAATCACAGAATCACCCAGGTTGGAAGGGACCTCAAGGATCATGTAGTTCCAACCCCCCTGCCTAGCAGGGCCACCAAACATACACATTCAGATCAGGTTGCCCAGGACCCCGTCCAACCTGGCCTTAAACACGTCCAAGGACGGGGCATCCACAACCTCCCTGGGCAGCCCGTTCCAGGGCCTAACCACTCTCCTAGTAAAGAACTTCCCCCTAACATCCAACCTAAATCTTCCCTCCTTCAACTTAAAACCATTTCCCCTAGTCCTGCTGTTATCAGCCCTTTTGAACAGTTTACTCCCCTCCTGGGTGTAGGTTCCCTTCAGGTATTGATAGGCTGCAATGAGGTCACCCCGCAGCCTTCTCTTCTCCAGGCTGAACAAGCCCAACTCCCTCAGCCTGTCCTCATAGGGGAGGTGCTCCAGCCCCCTGATCATCTTAGTCGCCCTCCTCTGGACCCTTTCCAAAATCTCTATGTCTTTCTTGTACTGAGGGCTCCACACAATTATTTATTTAGTCTATTATTATAGACTATGCAGCATCTCTTTGTTCTGTGAACTTTTCTTCCAATATATCAGCATCCCCAAGTACATTCTCTGTGGAGAGAAGCTTTCTTTTGGTTAGAGTTTGGTTTCATCTTTATAGATGGCTGGTATTAGCACCACTGATGACAGACCCATAGCCTAGTGTCTTGAATCACAGCAAGCAAGGAACAATCCTGTCATCCTTATGCTGACCCAATGTCCTACAGCACATTTTTTAACTAACAAAACATGCTTTGGAAAGATGGTATGTAATGCCTTTCAAATGAAAATGTGACCCCCTCACAGCAAATGGAGATCATTACAGTTCAGTTATCAGTGTTTGTTCACCCAAATAGCTCAGTCGGAGGCCTGGTTGAAAGCTGTCTGAAATGAACAACAATTGTTTTCAAGCCTTTTAAGTGTTCCTGCTGCAGCCACTTCATTTAGTATTAATAAGGTGCATCTTTGCTGCATTGAAGACAAACTCCTTTTTAATGTGCACCATAAATTAAGGAGAGACAAGGCCAACATAGACACCCATGACACAGTGAAGCAGTGTGTTGATGCACTTCTCCCACAGCTCAGTGGGAGCTTGCAAGCATTTACTCATCATAACCAGCTCTTCTCACACTTGATATCTTATGAGGCTAAGCATGAAGAGTTTTTCAAGTCACCTCTCACAAGACAAATGTTCTAATCCTCAAATAAGCATTAGGATTCTTCCTACCTTCCAGGGATCAAAACAACCTGTTTGGGTTGGGTTTTTTTTAGCCTCCAAGTCCAGCATGGGACACAATGCTCCACTTATAGTCTTAACTGAGCTTTACAGCAGAGTAGCATTATCTTTAATGATTTATACCTAATCCTTCTGTTTACACGTCATGGTATCTTGTTAGCTCTTCCTTCTGCTACACACTGAATTTTTATCTCCTAAGTAAGCATATGTTGTATTTGTGGAGCTGAGTAGAGCATATATAACACCCCCTGCCTTCAGAATACTTAACAGTATCAATGCTAAGGTCTTTATATGCCCATTTTCCCTACTCTGACAATACTGCAGATTCTGTTATTTTTGAGCAAAACGTTGATTTGACCTTAAAAAAAATAAAATACTACTCTAAGTTCCCAAAATGCTTACTTATGTATAGTAAGATGAATTGTACATCATTTCAGCTCTCTCACACTATACTGGGTTGATCTTTCTACAGAATAAGCATAAAGTGGTATGCACTTCTCAAAGCACTTATTTTATTTCTGAAGACAGTTTTTTTCCATCCTATGCTTATTACCACATTACCAAATAGCCTACTCTGTTTTGCTTCCATTTTAAATTTTACTGAATCATCTTCCACTGTTCTCCCACTGTTTCCACTGTATTTCTATATTTTGTTCTGAAACTACATACATGATCTATAGAAAATGAACACTGATTACAAAAGTTACAAAGAAAGTCGGTTAAAAATAAAATGGCTACATTTTTTGATTATACAATAAACACCTTAACAATTCAATAGCTGGTGTACGTTCATTCAAAATGACAAACCGTTTGTGTTTAGGAAACTACAAGACTGCAAAAGTAGAAAATAATAGCTTCACTCATTTTCATGTGTTTAGACACTTTCAAGGCCAGGCTGGACCAGGCTCTGAGAAACTTGATCCAGTTGTAGATGTCCCTGCTTACTGCAGGGAAGTTGAACTAGATAATCTTCAAAGGTTCCTTCCAACTCTAAGGATTCCATGATTCTATGATTTTGGCAAACGAGTAATTAGGAATAGTTTAAGCACCTCAAAGTTTACCTTCTAACTTAGAAACTAAAACTAATAATATAATATTATATAATAATATATTATTTATAATATATAACATATAATATTTGTAATATGTAATAATATATTATTTACACACATTCTTTACTGAATTTTCTGTGAGGAAAAAGAAAGGTAGACTTGTTTGATGTTAAATTATGCCTGAAAAGCAGAAAACCAGCACTAGTTAGCGGTGCACAAGCTGACAGATCTAACTGGTAATTGGCATAGTCTGTATAACACTTACATGAGAAAGAAAAAAAACTTGACTGTAAGGAGATATCAAAACTTGCTTGCTAATATACAGAAATTACATGGAGACTATAGTGTATTAAAACAGAAACTGAATTTCTTTGGCAATGAATATCTACTTACTTTCAGTTTCTTTTTTATTTATTTAAAGAACAGCATGAAAAATGGCATGGAGGGGTTGGTCCCAACTTTGTTTTAAAGATTCTGCTTATCTGTCTGGCATATCAATACATACGATTCTGCCTTAACGTGATTTTCATTGAAATGCTTTATAACAACTAAGCAGGCTTCTAAGCAGCTGCTCTCTAAAATCATCCCTATATCCTCAAAAAGAAGCAGAATGAAGCACGATAGCACTTACGAAAACTGTACCAAGTCTAAAAGGCAGCTATCACTACAGGCAGAAATGAACAGGCAAAGAAATCTGCTACTTTAAATAGCAACATTACAAATGAATTACAAAACCAAATATTTAAAACAACAGATCTCTAGCACCTCAGCATTCAGCACTTAGTGACAGAAAGGGTTGTGAGACAATCTGAGTTTTTCCACTTCCTTATGTGCTAGATATCCCAGAGTCACCTTGGAACATATTCAGAGTTGGAAAGCTTCTGCTGCAGTGCTCAGCACCCTCCAGGAAACTAGTAGAGTGCAATAAATAACTTTCAAAAACATATTAATCATGCATTGAAAGAGGAACAGATTAAGGTCAAAAGTAGGGAAAGGAGCTGTCCTACAACATATCTACGAAGCTTTCTTTGGTAAGCATTTTTAACCTGCAAGAAAACCCATATTATAAAACTTAGGCCATTCATGGAAAAAGGCTGTTATTTATATCAAGCTCTACAGTCTGTTATCTGTCTATCTTAGAACATCTGAGCTGACAGAACTAGTTTTCACTCACATGATTTCAACTGAAATGTAGGTCCCAGATCACATCAAGTTTTCAGGTAAACTCTCTGGGTTTTCTAACAGCTCCAGAGATGTTGTACTTCACTACGCATTATTTTTTATTTTTTTTTATTTTTTTTTACCATATTAAAAGGAAATTAACATTTCCCTGGGTTGTTTATTTCTGTTTTTGATGAGTGTCTTCAAAGACTTCCATTTACGTTTTTACATCATTAATAATTCTGTAATATTAGAGCCAGAACTGATGTTTATTACTGTGAATTCCACCACATCTTCTAGATTTTACAAGCCTTAAACAATCCTCTCCTTGAAAAGAACAGTCTTCTGCCCTAGAGTGCATCAGGATATGCCACCAATGGCCTTTCAAGTCTGTCTTTTCTTATTCCCTGAAGAAAATCCTGTATCTTGAGACTACAGCAGCACATCTGCTTTTATTTTTTTCCAAATATCGTAATTAGTAATAGCTAAACAATCATTTCTTTATCACTCCCTTGGACAGCATTATGCATACTTAGATACTTCTACAAAATGGGAAACAGAATGAACCACAATATTCCTACACACTTTCCTTAGCTGTCTCACTCTCTCTAAGAAGAAAAGTTTCTTATAATAGAAGGGACCTATAAACATCATTGTATCCAACTCCCAGCTTTATACAGGACTGTCCAGAATCAGACCATATGTCTGAAAGCAGTGCTTAAATGCTCCCTGAGCTCCTACAGGTCTGGGCTGTGCCCGATCCCTAGGCAGCCTGTTCCATGCCCACCATCCTCTGGGGCAGGACCTCTCTCACCCCCACCAGACTCTCCTCTGACAGCTCCATGCTGTTCCCTTGGGCCCTGTGACTATCTCAGAGAGCAGAGCTCAGCACTGCCCTCCACTCCGTGTGAGAAGCTGAAGCTGCCATGAGGCCTCCCCTCAGCCAGCTCTGCTCAGCACTGAGGTAACTCAGGCGCCATAGATGTTCCTCACACATCTTCCTCTCTAGGCCCTCCACCATCTTCATGAACCTAGAGCACCTTGAGAACAGGATTAGAAGGCAGAAATATCCCCTTTGATCCTGGTTCTGTGCAAAGGAAAACATCAGTTCAGTTTTCTCACTTGTAAAATGAGGACAAAACTTCCCTACACCTTTTCCATTGAGTTTACCATCTTCCTTTCAGCAGCAGTACACTAGTACAGATGCTCATCCACAAACCCACCAAGCTTCCCTTGATTATTTCATTCGGTGGCCAAATGGCCTGAAACCATCTGAAGGGCATTTCATTAGTATTTTGGTTTACGTAAATTGAACACTTGCATAACAAAGTCCAATTGGCCAAAGACCAATAATTGTTACATAGACACAACATTCAAAGTTGAAATTTTATCACACTTTCAAACCTGACAGAAAGAACTCAATTCTGGTAGAAAGAACTCAAAGATTCTTTAAAATTTGTGCAGTGATTCCTTCTCTTAAGTTTCCAAACAGCTGCTGTCCCAGCAATAAAGTCTTTAGAAAAATAACCCAGATCAAATTAGAACAAAATAACCATTAATCATAAGTTTTTACACGTGTGCAATTGCTTTTTGTCTATTAATTTCACCTATGCAACTCCCTTTTCTTACTGGGGAGTGAGCTGCTGAGTAGTTTCCTTGGTTTTAAGTTAAGTAGCTGTTTTCTGCGAGAAAGATAATGGCAACAGCTTGTTCATGTCTATATGAAACTTGCATACTTCTGGCTCAGTTGTAAGTCTCATTCTCATTATTAGTTTTTCAGGACATCCAGCCTTCTGACAGCTCATCTCTGAATGAGAAATTCCACTAAGACACAAGTGACAAAAATAGTGCACTCAAGCTCATACCCACTGAGGCTAATGCTTGTAGCCATCCCAAGGCCGATACAACCCTAATGACCTACTGCTGAAGCAGTAGTACTTGTGCTACATAAAGCCTCCAGTAGCTCAGAAGGCCCTATGAGTACCAAGTTTATAGGAGTCAGAAGTTAAAAATGCTTAAGGGAAAGATATTTTAAAACATATGTGTCATTTTAATGAGTGCATTATGAATCATACATCTTCAGTAAGATAAAATAAAGTAGGTTACCTGGTGTTAAAAGAATGACAGACATAGTGATGAGTGAACAAACAACTAGAATCACCAGCAGCGCAATAGCAATTCCCTTCCAGTTCCTCTGCGGAGGGCTGTTACTTCCAAGTTCCTACAGGAATGGAAAAAAAAATAGAAGGAAAAGATCGCATTTCATAATCACATATTTCTAGAAATATTATTGATAGGAAAACTGCACTGCACATACCCAAAACTACAACACAAGAGATGATCGCTATCCCTCCCATCTCAACAGCAGACATGCATAATTCCAAAGGTGCAGACGTTATCCCCCTTTAATAGATGCCTTTTCTTCTTTCTAGATAAGTAATTTTATATCCCTACGAGACAACAAAATGAGCTTATACAAGCTGTCCAAAATATGACTACTCTTAAAACGTGCTGAACATAACATTCTGGACAATACCAACTAGCAGTTTGTAAGATAATTACAGAAATAAAATGCAGCAATTTACTGTAATTCTACCAATGTGGTATGGACCATATAGGTTTAAATATACATCTTTTTTAGTGTACCCTATTAAACTTATTTGTAATAGAAAACATTTACAAAACTGCCTGAGGTTTCATCCAAAGCTGAACAGATCTTCTTCCTCTATACAGTAGTTCAGCTGCGAACTGTTCCCCCACTGTAACTTGTAATAAATGTTAAACAAATGCTCCTGTAGCTACTAGCATACATAAAGCTATGCTCTCTGTGGTTACATATTTAACTTGTATTAACAGTGTGATTAAGGTTTGTCAATAGCAGCAATGCATTGCTTATATTCACAGTACAACTTAAACCAAACAACGGTTTAGCATTTAACACTAGAGTGATAAAACCAGTTCAGCAATTATTTCATGCAATCTTAACTTGCTTTGATGGTAATCAACAGTTTTTCTACCCATATCGAGTTATCTGCCACAATTAGCCATGCACACCCTTAGTATCTCCAAAATAAATTGCTGTGATAACACGCACAACAAAAACAAACTTCTCAGAAGGTACAATTTCAGCCTACTTACAAAGCTAAGTCGCATTACATGAGTGCTACACAAGTTATGTGCAACAATATCTTTAACAGTGTCTTAAATTTTATTTTTAAATCCTACATCTCCTCATTTCTACCTGGGAAAGGTTCTCTTTCCTAGGAAATTTAAAAGGAATTTCACTTCACAGACTGTAAGCAATCCCACAGGGGAGTCCCATAGCAACCCACAGCCTAAGGCAGCCCTTGGTGAGCACCTAATGATAAATGATAAATGGTGAGGGGTCTGGAACACAGGCCATATGAGGAGAGGCTGAAGGAGCTGGGAATGTTCAGCCTGGAGAAGAGGAGGCTCAGTGGAGATCTCATTGCTCTCTATAACTTCCTGAAGGGAGGTTGTAGTGAGCTGGGGGTCGGCCTCTTCTCTCGAGTCATTAGTGATAGGACCAGAGGGAATGGTTTCAAGCTACAGCAGGGGAGATTCAGGCTGGACATTAGGAAGTATTACTTTTCAGAAAGGGTGGTCAGGCACTGGAATGGACTGCCCAGGGAGGTGGTGGAGTCACCGACCCTGGGGGTGTTCAAGGAAAGACTGGATGTTGTGTTGAGGGACATGGTTTAGTGGGAGCTATTGGGAATAGGCGAACGGTTGGACTGGATGATCTTTTAGGTCTTTTCCAACCTTGGTGATTCTATGATTCTATGACCCCCAGATGCTCTCCTCCCCTTTCCTCCAGGTGGTTAATAGAGTACAGTACTCACCCTACTCCCACTTCTTTTTAATAATCATTACACTACTCTTTGGTGTCGATACCAATAAAACTACAGGTAACTGACAAAATGCCAGCATGCACAGCTTGATCTCTGAGCAGCCATGCAGGTGAAGCCCAGCCACTATTAACCAACAACACATCCCCGATACCTGTATTTTGTTCACTGAATTCCCGATTTCCAAACAGACCTGTCTGCTCACCTCATTTTCTTCACTCCCACCTCATTTAAAACTAATGAATGCTACAACTTTCTATATAGCCTTATAGGTGGTTGATCTTCAAGGCTGCATGTCACTGTCGTGCATCTGTTTGTTAATCCCTAGGCTATGAGGACTGGATGGTGTCAAGACAATCTCAATTCTTTCATGGACTGGATATACCTGAGATCCACAGTGCTATTTTCACTCAAGTAAAAATTATTTTGATCTTACTAGCACAGTCTAGAAAATTAGGACTTATCCTAAACATAATAGTATAAACCTTACTCATATGACATTTATTAGAGTTCAATTGAAACAGAACAGCAGCTTGTATAAGCAAGCTGTACTGGAAAAACAGTAGTTATTCTGAGACTTGTGAAAGCCTATTCCAAAGGACTGACTTAAAATGACAGAAGCTGGACCACTTGATGAATGTCCTCTGTACCAAAGCTTCTAAAAAAAAAAAAAAAAAAAAAAAAAAAAAAAAAAAAAAAACCACAAACAACCAAAAAAACAACTGTGCCATGTCTTCATTATGCAGAAGATTCTCCTCTGCAGACATGAATATTGCTCAGTTACTAAAAATAAAAGCATACTTTAAGTGCTTCTACAAATTCTGGCAAGGAAAACAAGAAATGGATGAATCCTATACTGAGCATAGAAAGCTCACACTCATAGTGAGAGAGAAGGTGGGAAATGGGCATAAAGGGAAAGAATTATTTCTAAGAAAAAAGTGCTTTAATTTTATAACTGGATAAAATTTAGGAGTCCATAATTATTCAAAGTAATTAAAAAGTAATGTTTGAGGGAAAGCTTTCTGTAAGACCTACGTGAAGTTAATGTACAATAGGAAAATTCCCATAATAATGGGAATTAACCATGCAATCAGTATCAAGGACATCCCTAATCAACTTTTTTGGTGCTTGACTACAGGCTAGAAAGTTCTAAAATATATATGTATTATATAGTATGTATGTATATATGTATAGTATATATGTAGCATATGTAGTATAATAGTATGTTGTTAAAGAAATAAAATATATTCAGCCTCACACTGCTTTCTGAAACAGTAATAAATGTCAGTTAAACAGCTTTTTAGATCATGCACAATTAGCAAGACAGAAGATGTCATTTCTGAACACGGTAAGATAGAGGCACTCTATCAGAGAAAACATCATTAGAAGCTCTGTGATTAGAAGCTCCTGCCATCATAACTAACTACTATCACAAATAACAATGAGCATGGAGCTGGAGATTTAAGGATCTAATCTTGTAAGTAGGCTCTTACATTAAAGCAGTTTGAAAAAATATCAGCTTTCGAAGATGGTGTTTTATATGCAATACTATCTATAATGCTATTACAGATTTTACAATCTAACTCCAATGAATCAGAAAATGGCCGCTCAAAGCATAATATAATTGCAAGTATTCTCACTATTTAAAACATCTTTTTCATGAGCCATTTAATTGCTTTGTTGCCAAAAAGTCCTTAAGTAATACATGTTTCTGAAAGTAATTTGTGATTGAGTAATGCCTTATTAAAATACAGCCAACAAAGGGAAAAATCTGTTATACTGCACGCACAAAAAATGTACACAAATATTATAGGTCAGAACACTCCAGGCCTCCTCTTTGGCAAGAGTAAGTGTTCCAATTAAGACAAGAAAGAGCAGCTCATTTTTGTTGTGCACAGTTCCACTCTGAACAGACAGAACATCTCAATAATCTCTATTTCTAAAAAGAAAGCTGAAACTAAAATCTGTAGACTGAATAGGAGATGGATGAGAGGCTGAGGCTACCAAAGGAGTGCATAGATGGTTTCAATCTTTCAGCATCCCTCTGTGTTGTTTTCAGAGACACGCTGGAAAACTACAGCTACAAAAGGCAAATATCAATTAAATACAATGGAGCATTTTTCTCTCTCCTCTACTAGTCTGTTTCTAAACATAATATAAATGACTGACTGATGTTGAACTGATGCACAAGCATGAACATCCTTTAAGTTTTTAGCGGTATGTAAGTTTTGAATCTTAAACTATGGCATGCAACCTCATCCAAGAGTGCTGAGGACTTGTTCATTATTTTTGAACAAAATATGGACACAGATGTTTCACTTTAAAAACTACAAAATTACTTCCATAATTAATGTGATTCAAGCAAATATAACCCAATATCCTACACAATATAATTAATTAGATGAAGCAAATTTCCATTAAATTTATTTCATGTATGGATTTTTTTCATCATTTGATATACAAACAAGTGCTTACAATTTAAGTGTACTATTCCCTCTGAAGCAGTATTGGAGATAATGATTTTTTGGGAAGAAAAAGAAAATCACTTCAAATTAATATATGCAATGTCTTTAAAAAAAAAAAAAACCTCCAATATTTCCATATTTCCACTTGAAGAAACATTTATTTCTCATAAGCAGCAAACCCAGAAATCCAGCTTCCTCCTAAAGCTTATCAAATTGCACAGTTTTATTGTTAATCGATGAGGATAAAAAGCCTTTATGACAATTTTTCTAACAAGCGCATATACAGCTAAGATGACAACACAACATCAGAAAATAATGCCTTTACATGCTGCATTAATAAGTCTGGTCTTTGAATGATCTTAATAGCATCTTATCTTCTCCTTGGAATATCACAATACAATGTATTTTCTGCCACAGCACATAGCAACGAGGGAAGCAGAAGGAAGCTGCCTGTGGGAGAAGTCACACTGAAGTGCTGAAGCCTGTGACAGGCTTCTCCAGGAGAGGCAAGTCAGTTAAAGCACAGCACCCCCACTGGGACAAGAAATTAAAAACAAAGTTTTACAGAAACATTATGCCTTCCTGAGAGCTGGAATTTTGCCACACTGCTTTTTCCTCATAGTACTACCTTTCCATGCTGCCACCAAAATAATTGATAAATGGTGAGATGACTCAAACAAAAATATTCCTTTATCAATAAAAACTACAAACAAAAATTGCACCAATTTTTGTTATTTTTTTTGTTGGTAAGTCTGTTCACCACTGAAGCTGAGACTGTCATTATTTATTTCTTGCAGGCCTGGGTGCACTTCACCAGGTTTACATGCTCAGTGGTACATGTATACAGATGCACATTGGCATTTGCACCAAGACTTTGAGTATTTGGA